GTTTCAGATTGCACCTGTCATACATGAATGGACGTATGATGCAATGTGTCACGATTTGCTTGATCTTGATGGAAATAAATACGTACAGGAGGTAATTATCTTTTCTTATCCAAGGCCCTTCATATATTTATTATTCATCTTTTCCCTTTATGATGAAACATATTATCTATAAGATCCCAAGCAAATCAGGTGGCGAGCCTGAACGAAAGGAAGTCCTTTTGGAAGATCACGATCCTGTCTGGCTTGAGCTTAGGCATGCTCACATAGCAGAGGTGTTTCCTCCTGCGTAAATGGTCTCTGTTGTGTTTTACTTATTTGAGATATCTTAATGTACTTTTCCTTAAAAATCTCAGGCAAGCGAGAAGTTGCACGACAAAATGACAAATTTCGTCAACAAAAACAAAGCAGCCCAATTACAACAGAGGTTGGTGATCATACATGAATGTGTACTTGTTCACTTGACTATTAGCAAATATCATTTGTTATTCGTATTAATGGTTCATATTTCATTTAAGTATTGCTATGGCAATTTTCAATCTCTGGAAATTAAAACTTTTGCTTTTATGTAGAAACGGTGGCGAGTTGTCCACGAGAGATTTGCAGAAAATGGTTCAAGCTTTGCCACAGTACAATGAACAGATGGAAAAACTCTCTCTCCATGTCCAGGTTGTTTTTCAACTTACTAGAAAATCACAATCATTCCAACAGATATCTAAAACCTCGATCAGCCGATGTCACTATGCATTTTGGATTTATGTCATGTTACTGTATTGTTTATTTTCCTTCTGAGTAGTTACACATCAGACTAGTGTCGTCCATGGCTATATAGTATAATGGTTACGAGTCATAAATGTCTGTACGCATATGTCCATCTTACGTGTTTTTTTCATTCAGATTGCAGGGAAAATTAACAACATCATCAGAGATTTGAATCTTCGAGATCTTGGACAGTTGGAACAGGATCTCGTATTTGGCGATGCTGGTACAAAGGAAGTCATCAATTTTCTAAGGTCGAAGCAGGTAATGATTATGGTATCTGCATAAAAAATTAACAAAAATGGCAATTTTTGTAGGTTTTGACGTCATGCTGTGATAATAATTATTCCTTTACTATCCAGGATGGAATGTCCGAAAATAAATTGCGGCTTCTGATGATATACGCTGTTGTATATCCGGAAAAGTTTGAGGGTGACAAAGCATTAAAGCTCATGCAGGTTCTTGTTTTTATTCACTTTTACTTTGTTATTTGTTATTTAGTCTTTTCATTAACACAGCATGCAAGTTTCTGCTGAACTTAATGGGGGTTATTTGTTTCTTTTATGCTTCCTCAGTTGGCAAAGCTGACACGTGCGGACATGAAAACAGTTAAAAATATGAAATTGCTCGAGGGATCAAATACTAAAAAGGCTTCGCATGGGGCTTTCTCTCTAAAGTTTGATACAGCAAAGGTTAATATTTTCTACTGCATTAAGAGCTTAGAGGACTGTATAGTATATCTACAGGAAAAAAAGTCTCGGGTGTAGCTTGTAGAATTAATTTCTGATATTCGCTACTGTTTTGATTATCAGAGGAAGCATGCAGAAAGAGCGGATCGAACAGGAGAGGAAGAGACGTGGGCTCTATTTAGATTTTATCCGAAGATAGAGGTTTGTTTAAAGATTATTCTCGATTTTTTTTTTTTAATTGGATCTCTATATTGTAAGTCGATATCTAATCAACTTAGGAACTTTTTCGAAATCATTTTCCCTAACACGTGTGTGGTGTTGCTACATTTGTTAACCATTTTCGTGTTTTCTTTCACAGGAGTTGATTGAAAAGTTAAGTAAAGGAGAACTGCCGAAAGACGAGTATCAATGCATGAACAGTTCTGGTTCTTCCAACCAGGGGACTCAAGGGAACAGTGGACCGCCACCTGGCGCCCCAGGTAGACCAGGCACAACAGGTGCACCTCATTCCATGAGATCAAGAAGAACCGCTACGTGGGCCCGATCCCGAACTTCTGATGATGGATATTCAAGGTAAACCCCACATTTTCTCATTATTTTTAATGAATGTTTTACAAGATATATTTACCTAAGAAGATTGTGTGGATTCAAGATAATGTTTCTCCTGCTATAATTTTCCAGTGATTCGGTCTTGAGAAGTTCATCGAGCGATCATAGAAAGATGGGGCAGCGCATTTTTGTATTTATAATTGGTGGGGCGACCCGATCTGAGGTGAAAAAACGAAAACTCTAAACTATTTTCCTTTCTCAGCATTAAAGCTTTCTTTCGGATATTACATTTCATTAGCTAAGGTAATATTTGTTCTGTCCTCAGCTTCGTGTTTGCCACAAACTTACGGCAAAGTTAAGGAGGGAAGTCGTTCTTGGTACCACCAGTCTCGATGATCCGCCTCAGTACATTACGGTAAAAGCCTTAACATTTGTACTTCAATATCTAAAACTTTAGTCCATATTTCATTTCCTCTTGTTCCTTTCTATACTCTTTCTTGCAGAAACTCAAGCTGTTGTCTGAGAAGGAGCTTTCGATGGAAAACATTAATATTTGAAAGGTTTCGATCAGACAGCAAATAGGTTGGTTCTATGTTATGCAAGATGATAGTCCCCTGTACATTGTCCACGTCATTATTTATTCTTTCATTACTTTTATAGAGTTCCTCTTTTTTT